TCGGCGCCGAACAGGCTCTTGTCGGAAGGGCTGGACAAGGCTGGTTGTTCGGGCCGAGTCGTTTTTGACGTGCCGGGGGCCCGGTGAGGGACCCAAGAGGCCGAAACTAGCGAAGAGACTCCCGTCCTGATCCTTTCACGACGCGAGCCTGTCTGGGAAAAACACGCTACCATTAGGTCGGGCATGCCCCCCTACAGGCGGAATTTGAACGAAAAGAAAGAGTCGAACCATAGTTACACATAGTAGCACACTCGGTGAAAATCGTCCCCCGACTATTGTTTGACTATTCTTGAATACTCCTCCTGTAGACCCAGACCCCCGAAGTAATGATTTGTTCCTTACGTCAACCCCCAGAGGTCCCGACCCTTTCTCCAGGGCGACCGCGGGGGTGGAGGGCGGGCGAAGACGATGCAATCAAACTTGCCTGAGTCTAAGAAACAGACGGGCTCCAAGGAATTGGACCTCTCTGAAATCCGGTAGCTCCAGAGCGTGTGCCGGGCGGCCACGCGTCAGCCGCTCCGTATGAGCGTTCCGGCACGCCTTGAGAGCGCTCTGGAGTGGACCGATACATAGCCTACAAGAGACGGTGTCTATCTTTTCGGCGTTGTCCTGCAAAGGGTTCCACGGCTTCTACGTTAAATCATAAGAACTCGAGAACAGTGAGGGACATCACGACAAACCCGGATCTAATGTTTATCTTTTTGGGCGTCTTGTAAGCTGGACGAGAAGAACAATCCCCGGCCTCACCAAGAAAACCTCGGCCCCGCGGGGTACTCTACCCCCCTAGAGGTGGGGACGGGTAATCCGACTCCTTCGGGCTCCGCAGCGCCCATCCCCACCCCGAGGGAGCACGCTGGGAGAACCACCTCGCCCTGCCCTGGAGGGGGTGGGGATGGTTCCGACGACGAGGAGATCACTCCCCAGGGCGGGCAGTTTTGGACGAAACGGAAGGAGTAGCCAATCAAAACAGTAAGAAGCAGAAGAAACATCGTCCCCAGACTATTCCAGACTACACCATGCGAAATGCTTTAGAAATCATGGGTTAAGAAATTCATAGTCTCAGAACTTGAATAAAACCCAGAACTTCTATCAAAATCTTGGGATTTACATTGAAAAGTTAAGAATGATCGAGACTCTGGCCGAAAACTTGGGTTTTCTTAAGCATCGCCTAAGGTGTATTCTAGAACACTCCTCCTGTGGAGGGCCGCGCCCGACTCCAGTCTGCTCCGGCCCGAGAGGGCCCCCCCGACGAGCGCACGACCGCCGAGGGGGCCCCCCGTGGGCCCTCGGGAGCGCCGAGGCCGGAGGGGGGGCGGCACGCCCGTCGAGCAGGCCTGGCCGCGTCCTCCTCCTCCTCCTCCTCCTCCCCCTCCTCCTCCTCCTCCTCCTCCTCCTCCTCCTCCTCCTCCTCCTCCTCCTCCTCCGGGCGACGGTGGGCGCACGCGCGCGGCCCTCGTCCGGGGCAGCTCGGGCGCCCACGCCCGGCAGGAGGAGGGGAGGAGGGGGGGGAGGAGGAGGAGGAGGAGGAGGAGGAGGAGGAGGAGGAGGAGGAGGAGGAGGAGGAGGAGGAGGAGGAGGAGGAGGAGGATAATTATAACCAGCCTCGAACTTGTCCCTATCCCTGAGATGGGCGAGCAAAAGGCGAGGACAATCTCAGGGACAGGCCCCCAGAAACTGGGGGAATATCCTCAAGATCGGCATCGAGGCGAGGTGACGTCAAACATAGGGATGAAGATATGTTGCAAACTGGCGAAATTGCGCAGTCAGGGTCGGCGCTCGCTCGGCGCCCCGGGCTCGAGGCCACGGCCCCAGGGAAGTGTCGAAGCAGCGCCGGACGAGTGTCGCCTCCCAAGGCGAGACACGCGCGAGAACCCTCCAGTTTCGGTATTTTCCTGGCGCTCGGAACGTCATCCGCCCTGGGGGGGAGCGTCGGGGCTGCGGGACCGCGCCTGGGAAACGTCAGGACGTCGCACGCCTGGGGCGGCGGCCCGCGCACAACACCGCACTGCATAGAATCACGGCCATACCCAGACCCCCTGGGGCCATGAACACGTCACGACGGACGGTTCTCCGCTTCGGCCTCTGGGGGCCCTCACGGGGCCTCGGGAGCGTCAAGAACCACTCGGGATGGGAAACTGGTCCCGTGGGAAATTTAAACAGGGCTAGGATCGGGATAAATCGCTCCAGAGCGTTCCGGAGCGCTCTCAGAGCGTTCCGGAACGCTCTGGAGCGGCCGCGGCGCCCAATACATCCTCCAAACCCGCCGATTCTCAGAGATTTCGAGTTATCCCCCGTCCCGATCTTCGTGTCGTTTTAGAGGTGGCCGAGAGCTCTGGTGGTCGACGCAACGAACCAACATCATGACGTCGGGGGGTTCGGCTGTGGGCCGGCCCCGATTGGCTGCTCGAGGACGCGGAGCCCCGACCTCCGCCGCCTGGGCTTCTCCCGCGCGGGGCCCCCGGAAGACCCCTCACCACACCCGTGTCTTCTGGCGGCGCTGGGACATACCCAGCGAGGGGGGCCCCCGGTGGCCGAGGCCTGGGGCAAAAAAAAGGCGCCACGGAAGTCTCGCGCCGCTCAACGACCCGCGAAAGCAGCAGACCATCGCAGCCCTCCTCTCTGGGCTGAGGGGGGGGATCACACGCTGACCCCCTGGCCCCCGAGGTGCTGACAGCCAGACCCCGCGCCCGGGTGCCCAGGGCCCGGGCAGGCTCTACTCAACTCCCTGACCTTCCCCCTCCCAGATCTGTACTCCGCTTGGCCGAATCATCGCAGGATTTGTGAACATCGATGTGCCTCGGAGGAGGAGTGTCACGACCCAGACCCCTTCGCGCTTTGAAAAAACATCTCAACGGGAGGCTTTTCTGGATGCTCGGCCTATCCTGGAGCCCTTCCGCCGGGCCTCGGGACCGTCCAAGAAGAAAACGGATGCAGGATGCAAAACCGGACCCAGGGAAGGTTGGCGGCGCGCAAAAGGGGGTAGGGGGAGGGGGCAAGGCTTCTTAGAAGCACCCTGCTGCTTCGAAGGCCTCGGCCTCACGTTTGCAGAGAAGGCCCGCGCCCTCTCTGAGAAGCAGGGGTGCTTCTGAGAAGCCTTCCCCCCTCCCCTTACCCCCCCTTCTGCCCTGACCTTCCAGGAGGGCTAAAAAACAGCACCCGACCTAAAAACCTATCCCAGAGCTATTCTACGTCTTGGTTTTAGGCTGTTTCGTTTAGTTGTTTAAGTTTTTAGGTCTCCAGTGCTAACAAAATAGCTCTCTGGAAGGTCAGGGTGAATGTTGCCGCGAAGGGGCCCAGGCCTCTGGGGGCCGCGGCCGTGATCAAAAAAACCCACGACGCCGGGGGGTCGACGGGGCGGCGCCTGCCTGCGGAGGGCCCGTCCACGGCGCGCCCCGCTGCCCGGACCTCCGCGGCGGCCCCCGAGGGCGGCCCCTCGAGGGCAGCGGGTCCCCTGCCGCCGCTCGGACGGTCCGTTCCCCGTGCCTTCTTCGGTCTTGCGCGTGTCTTTGTTTTTGCGCGATGGTCCAGGGTGGTCCTCGAGGGTCTCGCCGAGCGAAAATGCACTCGCCCGAGCGATGTCAAGGTCCTGGACCTGGGCATTTTCTCAGGGTGGAGGGCTCAGGGTGAAATCCATATGGGCTTTTGCACATCGAAAATCAATCCGTCTTGTGGTTCACCTTTTGCAGATTCAAGCCTCGAAAATCCATCGAAACGGCATTTCAGATTTCACCCTGTGCCCTCGACCCGAAGAAGATGCTCGGTGGACGCTATGGGGCCTTCCCCACATATTGCCGGGCCTCTCATCCCGAGGTCGTCTTCTGACAGCCCCGGCGGGCCCGTGCCCAGGCCCCCTCGGGCAACGAACAAATCACAACGGCAGGCTTCTCTGAACCTTCGGCCTCTCCGGGGGACCTCGCCGGGCCTCGGGAGCCGCTCCCGAGGCCCGCGAGGAGGGGGGGGGGCTCGGGGCTCGACAATCGAGGATCGAGGATAGGCATCGCTCGACAATCGAGGATCGAGGATCGAGGGTAGGCCTCGCTCGATAAGCGAAGACAGGCCTCGTTTTGTTGGCGCTCAGCGCCAACAAAACGACTCAGGAGGCAAAGCGGGTCATTGGGAGAGGGTCGGGACCTCTGGGGGTCGACGCAACGAACAAATCATTACGTCGAGGGGTCTGGGTCTACAGGAGGACTATTCAATATTAGCCAAACAATAGTCGAATGACGATGTTAACGAAACAATCATCACGTTGGGGGGTCTGGGTCTACAGGAGGACTATTCAAGAATAGCCAAGCAATAGTCGAAGAACGATGTCGCATGATCTGCGTTACTATGCTTATCTAGGTGTCGACTCTGCTTTATTATTTTGAAGGGGCCCCAGGACACACAAATAAATACACACAAGTAACAAAGCACTCCATATTTTCCCATATTCTCTGTGGGTTTTCTCTTCCCCCCCCCCATTCTGGGGAATCGACGATTAATTGTGTCTGTATGTTTCTTTCCCTCAAAGTCCGCCTGTCGGCGTGGTGGGCCCAAAAGGCCCGACAGCGGGGCACAGAGCCTCGGAGCCCGCTGCCCTGCGGGCGCCGCTCGCCCTCTCTGCCCCAGACCCCCGACGTCATGATTTGTTCCGTAAGTCGACCCCAGACCCCCTCGGGCAATGAAAAAATCATGACGGGACATTTTCCCTAATTTTCGGCCTTTGGAGGCCCTGCCCGGCCCTCGGGACCGTCAAAAAACGACTCAGGATGAAAAGCCGGTCCCGGGGAATGGGTCGAGATCTCTGGGGGTCGACGTCATGAAAAAATCATGACGTCGGCGGTCTGGGACCCCCCGGGCCTCTCGTGCGCGTCCTGCAGGTGCACGGCCCGCTGGTCCAGCTCGGCGAAGAGCTTGGCCTCCTGCAGCCGCGGGGGGGCGCCGCGGGGGGGGGGGGGGGGGGGGGGCGGCCGCCTCCGGCCCGGGATGCGCACGGGGCATCGGCGACAGAATAGGCGTACAGTTGGGGCCTTTTTTTTGTCGACACGTCTATGAAGGAACTGAAATTCACAGAGAAAATCATGCAGACAGGAACCCCGAGAGCGCAGCGCAGCCGCGCAGGGCCCATGGCAGCCTATGCCACTCGCATACCACAGCGCGACCGCCGCAGCTCATCAAGGGGGATAGCTGTCCGCCGCCGCGGCGGCTGCGGGTGCTGGGCCTGCCGACGCAGAGGCCGCCCCCTGCGCCACAGCAGCCGCTCCGCCAGCTCCGGGAGCCAGCGCCGCCGCCGCGGCCGTCGGGCGCGCCCAAATGCGCCGCCCGCCCAGAGCCAGCGCCATCTCGGGCCTCCGCCGCCGCCCCTGCACCGCCGCGGCCAGGGCGTGCAGGTCGGCCGCCGTCGGCCCAAGCGTCGTCCAGCTCGTCGGACTCGTCCACGTCGGCGGCGGGCCGCGCCGTGACGCGCTCGAGAGGTAGGCCCGCGGGGGCAGGCTCCGGGCAGCCTCGCCGCCGCGGCCTGCGGCCGCTCCCCGCGCCGCCCTCCCTCTCGAGGTCCACGGCCTCCACGCCGTCGTCGGGACGAGCCCCCATGGCCGCAGCACCAGCGCGGCCGGCAGCATCGCCGCCTCGGCCTCCGCGCCCACGCCGCCGCCGTCGCCTCAGAGGGGCGGGCGCAGCGCCAGGCGCGGGCGGAGGCGGCTCGGCGGCAGGGCTCCGCAAGCCCGCCACAGCCGCGCGGAGAAGGCCCTCCGCGGCGCGCAGCAGGCGCACCCCCGCGGGGGAGTGCCCTGCCGCCAGCCCCGCGGCCGCGTGCGCCGCGAGGAGGGCCCCGCGGGCCGCCTCCTCAGCGTGGCGCAGGCCAGCGGCCTTCGGCGTGAGCGCACCCGGCATCAGCACGCGGCGGGCGCGCCGACGGCGCGGCCCAGCGGCGCGGGGCTTGTGCCTACAGTTGGGGCGTTGACCCAAGGAACCCTAAATAAGGAAGGAACGAGGCCCCTTTTTCTCATAAGTTAAACTCCGATTTTCCATGGAAAACCTCAGGAAAACCCAAGGAGCACTGTAAAACAACCAAGGAACACGGAGCCCCTCCCAAACGAAAAGGGTTCCTTCTTCAGCGCCCCGTCTGTACCCCCAGATAGATTTCCCGTCGCTGGCCATCGCTCGGACGTCCATTCCCTGTGCTTTGTTCGGTTTCGTGCGTGGTTCCCAGACCACCTCGGGTAATGAAAAAATCATGACGGGAGGTTTTCCTTCATTTTCGGCCTCTGGGGGCCCTCACCGGGCCTCGGGAGCGTCAAGAAATGACTCGGGATGCAGAGCTGGTCATGGGGAAGGGGTCGGGACCTCTGGGGGTCGACGTGATGAAAAAATCATTACGTCGGGGGTCTGGGATATAGGCGTACCCCCAGATCGACTTCCCGTCGCTGGCCATCGCTCGGACGTCCATTCCATGTGCTTTGTTTTCGGTTTCGTGCGTGGTTTTTTCGCCGAATGATCAAGGATGCTCCTCGATGGTCCTCGCCGAAGGAGAATGCGCACGTCCGAGCGATGCCAGGGTCGACTCTACGGATCATGTAACGTATTCTTCTCATGGGCTCGACGAGACAATCAGCTCTGGGGTACAATCCAAAACCCTAATAAGGACGCGCGGCAAGGACGCAAGACCCTTGGACGCCGAAGTTGGGATTTCTGGGGCGGCGGGCGACGAAAACCCCAAGGACGCAAGAGCGAGGAAGAGCAAGGACGCCAGGGTATACCCTGAGCAAAGCCGCGCGTCCTTCTTAGGGTTTTGACTGCATTCTTCTCGTGGGCTCCACGAGGAGGAGGAGGAGGAGGAGGAGGAGGAGGAGGAGGAGGAGGAGGAGGGGGAGGAGGGGGAGGGAGGAGGAGGAGGAGGAGGGTAAATCGAAATTCTGCAGTCGATCCCCTGCTGGGAGGAGATGGGGCAGCGCGCGCGGCACGCCCCGGGGCGGCGCGCGGCCCATGGCCCAGCGACGCCATGAGTTGGCCACTGCGTCGGCCTCCACGATTCGGCTGCACGTAAGAGTGACCCTGGGTAAGAGTGACCTTTGGTGCGCGGCTTTTTCGGGGGCGCAAGGAGGCCAAACACAAGCGCGCAGGACGCTAACATCGCAGCGAGCGCGGCGATCGGGGGACCCCGGTGAGCGTGAATCAATGGTCACTCCGGCGAAAGGTCACTCTTACGTGTAGTCGAACGATCCTCGACCCCTTCCCTGCATGGGACCGGCCTTTCGTCGCGAGCCCCCAGAGATCCAACGCATTGAGAAAATCAAGGCGGATGGCTTTCGCGAGTTTCGGCCCCTATAGGGGCCCTCGCCGGGCCTCGGGGCCGTCAAAAAACGACTCAGGATGAAAAACCGGTCCTGGGGAATGGGCCGAGACTTCCGGGGAAAGCGCATGGAAAAATCACGACATCGGATCTCTGGGTCGTTCAATGACAGTCCCGAGGCCCGGGAAGCGCCCCCACAGGCCGAAAGTCAGGGGACACCTCCCGTCATGATTTGATTCGGTCTCGACCAGCGCGTCTCGGTCTCGTATTGTCCTCGCCCTCCCGCGCTGCGTCCCCCCTCCGCCTCCGCTGCCAAAATAACGAGGTCGAAGGAGCGCACAAGCGGCATACGAGATCGCCCATACGCACCGTGCAGGTCGACCCCCCTGGAGTGAAGAGCGCAGGACGAGGCCTCCGACCCCCCGACGTCGTGATCTCTTCACGACGTGGACGCCCAGCGGTCTGGACCTACACACCCGGGACCGGCTTTTCGCCTCGAGCCGTGTTTCGACGGTCCCGGGGCCCGGAGGAGAGCCCCCACGAGGCCAAACACAGGCAAAAAACCTCGTGAGCGTTTCTGAGGTTCGGCGCTTCGACACTGGGCGGCAAGGGGGGGGGAAGGATGGGGCGGGGTCTGGCTCCGGGCCTCTGCTGCGGTGCGGCGGTCTTGCAGCAGGTGCGTCCTGCGGGGGAGGCTCCACCTGCTCGAAACAGGCGACCGAAAACAGCCAAGTTCTACTCCAGGGGGGGAGGGCGAGGGAGGTGCGAGGGCCCGCGCCTATCGGCAAGACAACGAAGAGAGAAGCGATCGCCCCTCGTGTTTTGTTTTCATTGCCCGCGGGGGGTTCTGGGAAGGGGCCCCCTATACGTAAAGCGAAGCCAGGGCGAGGGCAGCATCGGGAAGCGCGCGCTGCCCCAGGCGAGGGGGCCCTGGGCCCCCTCGCTCCTGGGTCCCGATCGCTCCTCCTCAGGGAACGGAGCAGGGGCGCGTCCTAAGACGAAGCCAGGACGAGGATAACTTCAGAGGAGGAGGAGGAGGAGGAGGAGGAGGAGGAGGAGGAGGAGGAAGAGGAGGAGGAGGAGGAGGAGGTGTTGGGACCAGTCCTCACCGCCGAGAGATAAAGGGGGGGGGGGACCAAAACTACAGACTTGCCAAGTTCAAAACGATAATTTCTGAGACCCCGCGGCTCTGCAGGATGTCTCGGGCGCCGCGGCCTTCTCAAAGCGCTCCGGGACGCTCTGGGAGCGTTCCGGGACGCTCTGGGAGCGTTCCAGAACGCTCTGGAACGGATTGATCCTCTCCTAGCCCCGTCCGAAATGGGCTCCCCGATCCAGGTCTGAGGAGCTGCCGGAAAACCCCAGCCCCTCCCGAGCCCAGGGCGGCCTTTCTCTCAACGTCTTGACTGTAGCCTGGGAGTTTGGGGTTCGATGTTCCAAATTTTCGGGCGTCGTCGTCGGATGATGACGGCTTTCCGTCTTCGGGATGCGCTCCAACGGCTGCAACTCGACGAGAGAGGGGTGCCCGGATCGTTCCAAGCAGCTGCTGGAGATCCAAATTGTGGCCCGAGTGGCGCTCCGAAGGGGGGAGTGAAAGGGGGCGGGCCTGCTCGGAAAGCGGCGGGGCTTCTTAGAACCCCTCCGGCCTGCTGCGAAGCCATCTGTGGCTTCGCAAAAACTGTTCTGAAGGCTGGAAGCCTTCCAAGCCTGCTGAATATGCCCGCCCCCTCTGCCTTCCCCCCCGGGCGCGCCGCCGACGCATAGCAGCAGAAGAACGGAAAGCCTGCAGTCCATGATATATATATATATATATATATATATATATACCGCAACGTGCGTGCAACGATGTAGGTGGAACACTGGCCAGACGCAGCCACAACACTTGGCTGTCCACTCCGCTGCTTCCGTTCAGGGAAAAGGGCAGTATACGGAGGGGGGAAGGTGGAAGGCGGATGCGAGAGGAGAGGAGGGGATAAGCAGAGCATACGGAGGGGAGAAGGAGAGTACACGGTGGGGGGAGAGTATGCGGAGGGAGGAAGCGGACGGAGAGGGAAGGGTCGATTCCCCGACATGCCAACTTCTGATTTTTGTGACAACGGGGTCCCTGAGAGTCCCGACTCTCTCCCTGGGAGTCCCGCTCTTCATGTATCACGTATGTGGCTGCTGCTAGCTCAGAGGCCGCATCGCACTCTCGCGCCCTAATTACCTCTGGCAGCCCGAAGTCGTCCACCACAACGTCCGGGCGGACGAGGCGCAGCTTTTGCATGACATTGTCCACGGGCCCCAGCAGGACCATCTGGTGATCGTTTTTTTTATGAATTGTTTTGCCGATCGGTGCGGGCCCCCAAACCCCCCCCCTCCCCCCCCCCTATGGAGTAGATCTTGGCTGTTTTTGGCGCCTGTGTCGAGTAGGTGGAGCCTCCCCCATAAATGGACGCACTGTTCCAGACAGCCGCACCAATCAGAGGTCTGGAGCTAGACACGCACCCTCCCCCCCCTTCCGCCCGACGTCGCAACGCCGAACAAGACGACGTAGACTTTCTGCGACAGTCTCGTGATATCCGGTGCCGACTCCGACGCGGCGGAGCTCGTCGCTCTGCTAGGCAGGCTTCAGCATGTGGCGCGTGCCGCCGCTTGCCCCATGGACAGCCCGTGTGTGCTTGAGAATCTGCATCTCCGAGGCCGTGGCTATCGTGTCTGCATACAGCCCGTGTGTGCTTGAGAATCTGCATCTCCGAGGCCGTGGCTATCGTGTCTGCATTTGCCGAGGCTGCGCCAACGGCGGTGTTGGCTAACGGCGATATCGGGAATCCGACTTGTGTGACGCCGAGCTCGCGCAGAACAAAGTTTGAAAAGGAGATCATCTACAAAATTGATTACCCAGAAATTGAATCGCTAACAAAAAATTTAGTCCAACATCTGGTTGTTCCCGTTCGCGCAAGTCGTGTCGAGATTCGCCGCGCAAAGCGAAGGTAACGTCAGCTTCGGCGGTGATGCCTGCTGCGTTGCTGATTGTCGCAGCTGGGACGTCGTCGCGTTGTTGATCGCTGTCGGTTCGCGGGTGGACATGTTGCTGGCTGGCGCGACTTTCTGGACTGCGCCGACCCTGCCTTTGTTTTGACGATGGGGGCCATTCGGAAACCTTTTTCTCACATTTGAACGTCCCGTGGCCTCTGCACTCGCTAAGCTTGGTTCAGGGCCAGAATACGAAGCTTTGATTTGCAAGCGGCCTCAGCCTGGCTCAACGCGTTTTGCAAGTTCGCTTGCGTTCTTTTCGCGGTGTTTCGGTTAGGTTCGCGCAAGCAATCGCAAGTTTGTTTGCGTTGTTTTCGCTGTGCTTTGGTTGGGTTCGCGCAAGCAATCGCAAGCTTGCTTGCGCTATTTCGCGGTGTATTGGTTGGGTTCGCGCAAGCAGTCGCTAGACTGGCGTCATGACATGTTTGTTCCACTGTTGCTGCTGCTGCAGGTGTGCCTTTTTGCTGGCTCCGCTCCGTTCGGACGTTGTCTGGGTCGGCAAGGAAAAGAAACAACATGTGCCCACATACTCTTCACCACTTTCCCATTCGCATCGGAATTTTATCACGCTTGCAGCGCCTCCGCATTCGCACTCCGACTCCTTCTGCCTCATTCTCATCAATCTGGCCTTTCATCTGATTATCCTCGTTCCCTCTTTCCGTCGTCCCTGTTTTTCAACGCTCGCGTCAACCTCCCTGTCCTTTCTCGCGTGCGTGGCGGTCTGCCTCACACGAATTAGTGTCTTTTTCCTCCCCGCCCCCCCCGCCCCCCCCCCCACCCACCTCCCCCTCCTCCCTTATTTCATGCGCCCTGCTCTTCCTCCACGTTCTCCCGCCCCTCCTTCTCCTCTGCTTTTGCACTCTGCTCCTCGCCCTCCTCGTCATGATCTTGTTTTGCCGTTACCATCAATCTTCCTTCTCGAGTTTCTCGTCCTTCTCCCCTTCGCTATCTTTCCCCAAGTACCCTAGCTTCTGAAGGCCATTCCCAACTTTTCGCGTTCACCCGCAGCGTGATGGCAGTTGTTTTGAATAAGTTTGGAAGATCTTGGGATCGCGGGTGGAGCCCACGGGCCGATTCGGAACGAGTAGGAGAAGGAGGAGGAGGAGGAGGAGGAGGAGGCGAACAAGAAGGAAGCAGTGAGGGCCTTGAGGTGGGGATGATTTCGAGGAGCCAGAGCTGGGGCTCGGAGGCTGCAGAAAGGGGCCGCGTGAGCTTGCCACGTCGATGACGGCAGAGCAGACAGGAGGGTTGATGCTCCCTCCTCCTCTTCTTCTTCTTCTTCCTCCTCCTCCTCTCTTCGTTCTCCTCCCTGCGAGGAAGGATGATGGAGACTAACCCTGGCTTCTCCTTCTCCTCCTCCTCCTCCTCTGCCTCTGGCTTCTCGTTGTCCTCCTCCTCCTCCTTCTCTGCCTCTGCCTCTGGCTCCTCCTCCTCCTGCTCTTTTTTCTTCTCCTCCTCCTGGCGGGTGGAGCGCTGATGGAGCCTCAAATTTGAGCCCAATTCAGGGAGGATCCAGCCGGCTTCCTGCCGTCCGAAGG